CTATTTGTCTCATGTGGGCATTCTGAAATGACAAAATAAAACAAAATCTTACAATACCTTGGATATTGTAAGTGCTATGATTGTAGTCAAAAAAGTATAAAGAACTTCCTCAAAATATAAGATGTGAAAGGCTGTGTAATCATTAACAAAACCATTTATTAATTTAAATTAAATTAAATTACTACTACTATTATTATTACTATTTTTACTACTTACTAAATTTTTACTTTTACTTTAAATTTTTAGTTTTACTATTTTTACTATTTACCAATTTGCCATTACTACTGTTACTAAATTATGTTACTAATCATCAGTGTATGGTACTATTCAAGTTATTACAAAATAACATAATATCTAAATAGTAATTTTATATTAGGCCCCCAGTTAATATCCTTTTGCAGGAAAAAAAGGACTGAGGGTCTCTTGCAGGTGAATGCGAAGAAAGAGCTTTGATTTCATTGTATCTCACCTTTGGTTATAAAAGGCTAAAAATGTTCAAACTGATGCAACGTATCACTGACTACTCATACTTAAAAAAATGAGGCTATGGTTTATAGAATCTATCAGAGAATGTGACAACTTGATCTAAAATGTTAAAACTAAGGGTTGATGGAAAGCATAGACCCCACTCACTACACAATCCATGGCTCAACAGATAAGTGATCCTTACTACAAAGCAGCACCAACCATCTTTTCTCAGGAGAGGAGAAATAATGCCTGACACTTGGTAGTATTTGATAATTTACAAAGTACTTTCACTATGTAACAAGGATAAAGTTATGATGAATTCCCGGTGTATGGTGCAATAGCACTTGCCTGTCTCCATCAGAAACTGTTTCCCCAGTTGTAGATGAGACCCTGAATATAGTATGCTAGGGAGGGAAGGGAGGGAACTGCACTATTTCGGGAAAGAGAAGGCTAAAAATGTTTCTGATGTTTGTTGTATTTCCTCTTCTGTTTTACTTAATTATTTCTCACTGATTCTATAAAGTGTCTCATCTAGGTTTATTAGCAAAGTAATTAATGAATAATTAGATTACAAGATTATAGATAGCTGGAAGGGATATAAGAGACTGCTTTGTCCATCTTCTCATTTTACGTATAAGGAAACTGAGGTCCAGAGCCCAACCTCACACAGGTAGACAGACAGGAATGTGGTGCATATCAGGCTGGGGTTAAAGCTGAGTGAGGTCTTCTGATTGTGGGGCCAGTGCTCATTCCACTAGTCCATACCAGATGATTTCAGAGGTCCTCAATTTTATAATGAGATGGTGGCTCAATCAACTTGGGGTACTCCTATCAGAAAATATTCCTCACAAACATTAATGCAAATCATGATGGCTAGGGTTAACACAGTCTGGTCCATGGACTATATGCCATATGATCCTCACAAGAACCCTATCAGGTAGGTAGGACGGGCATTATTGTCTCCATTTTACAGTTAGAGAAACTAAGGCATTAGAGAGATGAAGTGACTTGCTGCCAATAAATGTTTGACCCAGAACTCAAACCCAGTTTCAACGCCAGGTCCAGCATTCCTAAGTTTTACACTCCTACACAGGTTCAGAAACAACAGTTTAAAATATCCATGGAGTCTCATTCCTTCTGTGGAACAATTCCACGTGTCTTCTGAAATACACCATAAGGAGCTAAAAATTCTGGACACTGGACAGAATATTTAGAAGGTGATTTGCTATTTTACTGATTATTCTACACCTCCCAAATTAACAGGATTCAGATCCTTTGTCTATGCTCCCAGAATTTAATCATCATTCAGCTTGACCTGAACTAACTGTGGCTGAGAGGATTGGGGAGGAGATGAAGAAAGAGAGGAACATACATACATACATACATACATACATACACACACACATATACACACACGTATGTATGTGTATATGCGTGTATATGTATGTGCATGTATATATATATACACGCATGCAAATATACACACACATATATCTACATACATACACACAAACACACACATATGCACACACATTTATGGTGAATAACTTTTTGTTTTCTGTCTACGAGACATGAGATAACTCTCTACCTGAGAGAGAGAGTCTGATAGAATTGGAAAAAACACCCAAACATATTTTTTATATATTTTACAGTTCAGTGAAACACAGTGGTATAATCCTCAATGACAATTATCTTCATTATAGCTAGCATTTATATAGTGCTTTAAGGTTTACAAAGCACTTTACACATATTATTTCATTTGATCCTTACAGGAACCCCATGAGGTAGTACAAGTAGGCATCCTTCTTTGTCCTCTTTTTACAGATGAGGACTGAGGCTCACAGAGGTAAAGAAACTAGCCTGAGGTCACCAGACGTGAGCCCTCTTCACTCAATGATCTCATTAGGTGTTTAATTATCATCTCTATGCTGACAATTCTCAAATTTACCCATTTAGGCCTAATTACTCTGCTGACCTGTAGTCTCATTTCTCCAAACCCCTTTCAGATATCTGGAGCTATATGGTCAGTACATATCTTAAACTCAGCATATCTAAAACTGAATTACATTTCCTCTTAAACCTTCCTTGCTTCTAAACTTCCCCATTACTGTCGAGGGCACCGCCACCTTCCCAGGCTCCCAGGCCTGTCATCCTCAACTCTTCTCTACTTGTCACTCCTCATATCCAATCTGCTGCCAAGGCATGCCAATTCTGCCTTTGTACCATCTCTCAAATGTGCCCCTTCTCTCTGACACTGCCACTATCTGGTGCAGACCCTTGTTTCCTCAGGCTTGGACTATTTGAAATAGCCTCCTGGTGTGTCTGCTTGCATCGAATCTCTCTCTATTCCAATGTACCCTCTATTTAGCCATCAAAGTGATTTTCCTAAAGCTCAGGTCTGACCTTGTCATTCCTATACTCAATGAACTCCAGTGGCTCCCTATCACCTACAGGATCACATACAAAACCCTCTTTTTGGCATTCAATATCTTTCTTAAAATAGTTCCCTGCCCCCTCCCCTGTCTTCTTACACCTTATACCCCTCCTCACCCCCACATACTTTTGATCCAGTGACAATGGCCTCCGTGCTTTTCCACAAACAAGACACTCCATCTCTTGGCTCTTTGAATTTTCTCTGGCTGTCATTCATACTTTGAATGCCCTCCTCATCTCTACCTTTTGGCTTCCCTGGTTTCCTTCAAGTCCAAACTAAAATCCCACCTTCTAAAGGAAGCCTTTCCTAATGCCTCTCAATCCTAGTGCTTTCCCTCTGTTGATTATTTCCTATTTATCCTGTGTATAGCTTGTCTGTACATATGAATTTGTTTGTTGTTTTCCCCATTAGATTGTGAGCTTCTTGACAGCAGGAACTCATTTTGCCTTTCTTTGAATCTCTAGTACTTAGCAGAGTGCGTGGCACATAGTAGGTGCTTAATAAATGCTTCCTGACTGCTTGACTGACAAGTAGGAAATGAAAGAACTGAAATTTGAACCAAGACATTATAATGCTGCTCTCTAGCCCCAATTTCTAAGAACATCCTGACCTGATTTGCTTCCATCTCATCTGTCTAATTTGAGATTTCTGAAGTTAAGTGAGTTGTCCAGGGTCACACAGCTAGTAAATATCTGAGGCAAGATTTAAATCCAGGTCACCCTAACTCTAAGTGCCCTTCCCTCCACTCACATAGCCACCACACTAGTTTAGGCCCTAATTACCTCTTATCTGAACAAGTGTAATTGCCTCCCAATTATCCTCCTTGCCAAGTGACTCTTTACTCCAAACCATCCTCTCCACTCAGCTTCCAAAATGATTTTTCTAAAGAGTAGATCTGACCATTCTCTTCCCCCCTTTCCCTACTCAACAAACTCCAGTGGCCCCCATTTACCTCCGAAGTCAAATATAAAATGCCTGTCTTTCTATAACTGACCCCTTCTTACGTGTTCTAGTCTTCTTATACCCTATTCCATGATCCCTACCTTATTCCATGGGCCCTCCCTCTCTCTCCCTCTCCCCCTCCCCCTCCCTCTCCCTCTCTCTTTCTCTCTCCGTCTCCCTTTCTCTTTCTCTGTTCCTGGACTCCATGCTTTTGCATTAAATGGCTGTCCGCCATATGTGGTGAACATGGCTTCCCCCTTACCTCTGCCTTTTGGCTAGCCCACCTTCCTTCTAGACTCAGCTCAAATCTCCCCTTCTGCAGGAGGCTCTTCCCCCTTCCCCCATTTGCTAGTAACTTCCCCCTCCCCCAATATTAACTTCTATCTTTTCTCTATATGTCTTATACAGACCTAGTTATTTTTATGTTGTCTCTCTCATTAGAATATGAGCTTCTTAGGGTCAGGGGCTGTTTTTTGGCTTTTGTAGCAACCTCAATGCTTAGCACTAAATAAATGCTGGTTTACTAGCCACTATACTCCATTGACTTATTGAATTTTCTGCATGCCAATGTAAGTATGTTCTTATTTCTCCCCTCTCCCCCCCGTTTTTGGAAGCAATTAGTGTTAAGTGACTTGCCCAGGGCCACACAGCTAGTAAGTGAGGTGTGTTCTTATTTCTTTAAGAAACACAGGCTGTTGGAAGCTGATTCAAAGAATGGGAACGATTTCAGAAGGAAGAGGTTTCTTCAAGGGGGAAGAAGAAAAGCTCTTTTCCTAAACCCTCCAAATCCTGTGATTTGATTATTCCTCTTCTCTTTCCAGCCCTCCTTTCTTGTCAAGTTGACTAGTTTCAAGGGACAAGGTAGGCTACATTTAGAATAACAGACCAGATTCAGTCGGAAGAATTAAGATAGCGCAGCAGAATCTTGATCATTCAACCATCACTGTGGCATTTCTGCTCCAAATAATTCTTCTGGGGAACAGGCTCAACAGATTTTTTTTTAAAGGATGAGGTGAAGTTAGTGTTCTGTTGTTCTATTCTGGGTCTTAAATGGGAATAACTGGTAAGTTATTCCTGAAGTTAATTAATGACCTTGACTTTTCCCCATTGATGGAAAAAAGGCTTCACTTTAGGGACTGATGATTTCTCTAATTACCTGGTGCCGGGCTCGGCTCTGGTCCAGCAGCTGCTGGGACTGAAGTTTTTGTTGTTCAAGCTGTTGCAGTGCAAAGTGGAGCTGATAGCTGCCAGCGGTGGGATGGTGCTTGTGCGGTGGCATCACTCCTGCGGACTTGTTATACGTGGAGCTTTCTACTTCCCCTTCCCAGGCAAAGCCACCTGTTTGCATATTCCTGAGAAAAAAAGAGAATATATTTCTTGAAAGGTCATGTCAAGCTAAAATCCTCAAGAAAACACCAGCCTCAGGCACTGCCAAAAGATCTCAAAAATAAACTCCAATGCAGGCAAGTAAACTAATAGAGAAGACTAGAATAGAAGAAATGCCAGACTAGGACAAACCCACAGACCATCTATCCCAGCATTTTGGCTTTGAAGGCACCATAGGCAATTCTGTGGTAGGGCATCATAAGCCCCAAAGTGTTTTATGGCTGAATTAGTCTGAGAAAAGCTGAGCCAGTCTAATTCGCTTTGAGACCAGTATGAACATATCTTGAAATTATTTTCTTGCTGACAACAACTAGACTTGAATCTCAAAACCACTTATGCTTATGGGCCTGATGTGACTATATTACTCAAGTTAAACAGACATGATCCATATGTTTAAAGAGCTTACTTACAAAGATGTAGAAAAATACAAGGGATATGTAAACAACAGAACCAAAATGCTAAGAAGTATGTAAATATTGTAAGTAAAATCCTAATAAAGCAAAATAATAACTGTATATCATAAGGGTAGAAAAAGTGTCACAAAAGTTACATGCTTAGACAGGGAGAAGCCAAGGCAAAACTGATATATACCTACTGGGGCAAGACTGTGAAGTGGAGATAAAAAAAATAAAGGACTTGGCATGTAGATAGCTAAGGGCAAGAACATAGACATGAAGGTGCAGAAAACAGTGGAGATAATAAGGCCTACAGACTGGAGAGGGGTTGGTTATTCCAATGAATGAGACAAAAAACCTGGGAGAAAGGAACAAGTGGTAAAACTAAAGACTAATGATTCCCAAACAAACTAAAGAGGTATTACTTTGAATTCAGAATGAGTCAATAACACAAAGCTTCACTGACTTTCAGAGCTGAAGGGATGTTAAAGAAAATTCAGTTCAACCTCCTTATTTTGCAAATGAGGAAACTGAGGCCCGGATAGTGACATAGCACAACTAATACATACATCTCTAGACTTCTAATTCAGTGGTCTCTCCACTGCATCATGTTGAATTACATCCTTAAAACAATTAAAGTATAGGTCAGGAAATATACAAACTGTGAGTGAGCTTCACAATGGGTCAGAATAACCTAGCCATCAATAGAACATCTGCTCCTACCAGACTTACTGGCTAATATTACTAGATGGAAAAAGAAGAAGGAAGAAGTAGTAGTAGTAGAAGAAGAAGAAGAAGAAGAAGAAGAAGAAGAAGAAGAAGAAGAAGAAGAAGAAGAAGAAGAAGAAGACGAAGACGAAGACGAAGAAGAAGAAGAAGAAGAAGAAAAAGAAGAAAAGGAAGAAAAAGAAGAAGAGGAAGAAAAAGAAGAAAAAACAGCACCTAATATTTATATAGCACTTACTACATACCAGGCACTGTGCTTAAGCATTTTATAATTATTATCTCATTTGAACCTCACAACAGTCCTGGGAAGTAGGTGCTATTATTATCCTCATTTTACTGATGAGGACACTGAGGCAAACAGAGGTGAAGTGATTTGCCCAGGGTCACACAGCTAGTAAGTGTCTGAGGCTGGATTTGAACTCAGGGAAGTATTTGTACCAGGTGCTGGTGGATTTGGTCTTACTTTTTAAAAGTTGCCATATTATATAGTATATGGTATACAGTATACTGGTCAGAACCAACCTCTCTACTAATATTTGCCAAAATAAAGGATCAGAATAAATAGTTGCACAGGACTATGAGGGAAGAGCAGGAAAGAAGAGAAAGAATGGTAAGTGGGGAAATGAACATTAGGAGAGAGGCTTTAAGCAACTACACATCGATGGAACAGACTAGAACATCATAAACTTTTACTGTCAAAGCTGTTTTTCCTCTCATCAGTAAGTAACCCAAGCCCTGCCTCCAAGCTGCAGAAGGAAAAGTTTCCCAAGTAAGTAGAGGCTTTCTGTAAAAAGGCAGGAATTTTTACAGCCTAGAACAGGGTGGGGGCAGGGATAGCTCAGCTGTGAGGCAATGTGATAAATGACAGCAGGGACTTGCTTGCTTTGAAGAGTAGTGTGCCTGACCCAGGCCATGACCATTACATGTGTAAAGGACAAGCCTTTGGAGTTTGCAATAAGCAGGTGGTGCAGTGACAGATATAGAGACAGCCAGGTGTTATAAAAAGACTGAGGCAGTCCTGAAAACTGATCATTCTTTGATACAGGTGCCCATATATATATACACAAACACACACACATTTGTATGTATATACACATACATATATATAAACACCATAGATAATATATACACACGCACATGTACACACACACACATATATTTTTTTCCAACAATCTCTGAATAGGTTCAGTTTCAATTGAAAATCCTAGCTCGTTTTTTGGATTTACTATATTTCCCTAATAATATTATTTATTTCCACTCTACCCAAAATCTTGGTTTCTTCCATCATTCTCCCTAAAACACATTCAGGGCTTCCACTGCTCTCTGTAGGATATACAATGTAGAGGTGGTGAGGTGTGGTGGGAAAGGTACTAGATTTGGAATTAAAAGAAGGGTGCTGGAATCCTGGCTGTGTTCTTGGATAAATTACATAATCTTGTTAAGCTTCAGTTTCCTCATCTGTAGAATGGAGATAACGGCTGTCCAGTCTTATCTCAAATGGTTGGTTTAAGAATTAAGTGAGATAAAATATATGAAAAAACTTTTTGACAGTTGTATTATACAACTGTCTTATAGTTTTATACAAGTATTATACAAGTGCAATGGGATTATTATAAATAATGATACTTTAAAAATATTTGGTTATAATAACATAATGCAATGTAATAGTTTTACACAATTTCCAGGACAGCCTATTTAGAAATCAAAGGAGTTATCTGAAATACCTTCAGACGGCACAGTCCTGCATTAAATGTTACTTTGCTGGTGAAAATATGTGCAGCATTTCTGACTCCGCAATTTTTTTGTCATTCAGTCAATTATTCTGCTCACAGAGTCTATCATTTTACTTATGTTAGACTAGAGTACTTCCTCTATCTCCCCTAGACACAATAAAAGTTTACCACAACCAATTTGAATTTTAGAAGAAGTCTGCTCAGAGGACAAGCAAATTAGGTTGAGCTTAAAGGGGTTAACGTTCCAGAGATCAATATGATATACATATAATTCAGGGCTAGGGATAGGAAAGATGTGTCTTTTGGTGGGCAGTCAGCTTCCCATCCCTGTTCCAGAAACAGAGGCACTAACGACCTCATAGCCTATGAGATTAAAAAAAGATGCTTTCTGGAGAGAGTCTTCAAGAAAGTCTGTCCATCACAGTCGTAGAGATTTTACACTGAATTGCACTGTACTTTTTGCAGACACTGTTGCACAAGTTCAAGGGCAATGACTGTGGAAAATGTATGTACACAGGGGAAGAAAGATACAGAGTAAGATGCAATTCCTCCAAATGCCATGTACCCATCCAGAGACAGAACCAGACAGCACAAAAGAGCAATGTTGTTACAAGTAGCACTATATCAGGCACCCTAGGTCTCCCTCAGTTTCAAATTGCTAACAATAGCAAAGTAGCAACTATATCTCAGAACCTTTTTTTAAAGGCTTCAAGTCTTTATTAAAAAAAAAAAATTGATGCCCTTTGCTTTTACATCACATGCATTTCTGAATAAATCTCTCTTTTCTGCCTTTGTGAGCCTTCTCTTTTAGCAAAGATTAAAGTAAAAAAAAAACCAGTTAACCAAAACCCACCAACCCAAAGACATGTCAGACAGCATATGCAACATTCCACACCTATAGTCCCCCACCTCTCCATAAAAGTTGAGAAGTTATTTTTGTCATCTCTCCTCTAAGGCTAAACTTGGTCATTATTATACAACTTTCAGTATTGCTTTATTGTTCTTTCCATTCACAATGCTATCATTGTCATGTATATTGTTTTCCTGTATTATATTGTAATTGTATATGCAATACTGTAATATTGTATATTGGGTCTGTTTACTTCACTCTGCATTAGTTTATGGGTGGTGGGGGTAGGGTGTGGAGTGTTAATCCCAAACTACACTAAAATTTTTGAGATACTCCATATAAATGTTTTCCTCTCACTGAATCCTTCATAATCATTGTTTCTTACAGTGCAATATTATTACATTACAATCAGGTGTACAGGAAATGGGATATATTACATTAGATGAAAATAATAATACCACCTGAAGTGTGGAATGAACTAGACAAAAGTCTGATATGCACACATATTTTTGTGTATATGTATGAGTGTAGGGTGGGAGGGAGGAAAGGGAAGTACCAGTGAAGAAGTTAAATGGATGCATTCTGAGAATGATTCATTTTTTAAAGCATTAATTAAGCACTTCCTATGTGCAAAGGCATTGTGCTAGGTGCTAGGGATATAAAGACAAAAAATGAAAAAAAAGTCCCTTCTCTCAAGGAGCTGTCAAGGAGAAATATGATCTTGGATTAAATGATTACCTACAACGTAAAAGCAAAAACCTATTTAGAAATCAAAGGAGTTATCTGAAATACCTTCAATACCTGAAATACCAAACATGGTTTGGTTATTTTGAGGTAGTGTTTCTATTCTTAAAAAACTTCTTTTAATTTGTTATTTTTTGTCTTTTATATCCCTAGAATTTTTCCAATAGGTTTCCCCTCTCTATCCTAAAGAGCCATCCCACATAAACAATATTTTAAAGAAAAAACAGAAGAGAAAAAATCAGCAAAACATATCAATATGTTTAAAATAGTCTGAAATATATGAAACGTTCCACACTTGTGTACCTCCCATGTGGTATCTTCTCATATCTCTTCTTTGGGGCCATGCTATTCTTTGTAATTTTTCAGCACTTGTTTTTGATTGTTTTGTGGTTATTTCTATTTACATTGTTGGAGACATTACATATATTGTTTTCTTAGCTCAGTTTACTTCATCCCATATCATATTACGTAAATCTTTCCATATTTCTCAGTATTTATCATATTCATAGTTTCTTACA